CTCGTCATCTTCTTGTGTTATTTTCTTAAAGCTAGTTCTCCTCTCTTCGCTGTTTTCATCTGTGATGTCCATCAATACTGAGTACAGCTCTTCATTTTGTATTTACTAGAAACAGGAGAGAGAAGTGGGAAAAGTGGTAAATATGCAGCAAGTAATTTTTTTAAAAATGATGCATAATGAGAGTCAGTGTGGAGGAGCTCAGTGAAAGTTTCTTTTGGATAAGCTTTCCTGGTTGAGGGTTTTGTTATAGAAAGTATAGTCTAGAAACACTTTTTAAAAGTACAAAAACATATAAACATATGGAGAAATGTGTGCAATAGACACATATTATAAAGTCGTCCACCTGCACCCTATTTATACAGTTTTACAAGGAGGAAAGTTCAGAGTGAGGTTACACCCAAAAGGAAAAAAATAAATAAAAAACATTCAACTTGACTGGGGAAAGTTCGGAAGCTGAGAAACAACAGCTTCATTCAGTTTTCATTCCGCTCTTTTAACGTGGCATAAAAGACGCCTGAGCTGAGGCCTCGCGCCTGCCAAAACAAGTGCTGCTCCCACTCTCCCCAGAACAAAGATCAGAGTGAGCTGTAATCATACAAGTGGAGATCGGCCTCAGTGTAAAAGGGCTGGATGGAGGTGGAGGGATAAGGGTGTGGTGCCAGGGTGTTGGGGGCAGGCGAGCCGGTGTCCCAGTACCCCCGTCATGACAGATGCTGGCTAATTCACAGTGATCCCCAGCAGCTCCGTGGAGCTTCTGATGAAGAAATAAGGAAATGAAAGAAGATCAGGCTTTCACTGAAGCTGCTTTGTAGTGTACTGCTCCACCTCAAACCTTCACCCAAGCTTCCAACCCAAAGAGACAAACTGTCAAACGAGTGACGAGCTCAATCAGCATCCGCTCCACCTGGCCCTCCCTCCATCCATCTCTTCTCACCAAGGAACCAGCCTTCTCGCTGTTCTATACCTCGGATTTACTGCATGCTCACTAGGGAGCTTCCATACAAAAATATCCATGCGCAGTCTTACAGCTCAGCAGGGAGGGAGCACAATAGCACCAGAGCTACATATAGTCCTCACTGACAGGCAGCCTAGAAGTGGAAGGACTGCAGACACAAATATATTAATCACCCACTGACTTGAAGGATTCAGGTGTTGGAGCCTGTGCCTCTCTGCGGTTGGCTAAAAGCTGCTAGTTCTGAGCTGACCAGGTAGATATGTTCTGATCTGAAACCATCTCAGGAAGTGACACTGCAACATTTTCTTAATAAGACAGCAGCTATTTTGCCTTGTGTTGATGCTGAGCTCACGTCAATTTTCTCTTTGGATGTTGTCCTGGATCACTTTGCCATATTAATGTAATTTGTAGGTCCCTGTGCTGTGCTGTAGTGGCGGCGAAGACTCCATTCTTAATTAAGTCCTAGGATAACTGTCGCATTTACTCATCTGTAGTTACCAGCGCTGTAACCAGACTGCCTGGATGGTGCATTCCACTTCTTCCACTTTTTTATCTTTACAACAGAATATTAGTGATTAAATATTACAGCTCTGTTGTTTCCAGCTGAGTTGAGCTTTAGGATTGTGTGAAGCAGAAGTTACGGCAGAGCAGGACATAGCTGCAGCTGAGAAATGAGTCCTGACAGTTGTGATAATTTAAAATAAGCTATTGAATTTTCGGTTGGGTCCATGGTAACCCTTATGGAAATGCTGGTCATGTAAACGTACCGGTGATGGAAAGTTACTGGATTTTCCCTAACTAGTTTCTAGCTGCGGTGTTTGGAAAGGTTTCTGCACCCTACTTTTCTGTCAGACTGTGTAGAATTTACATTTAATTCCCTCATCGCTTCAGCATGATCGTGTTCATTTAGACAGCTGAGAGAAATCAAGAAACCTCCACCTTACTCTGATCATCAGGTAAGAGTTGACTGAGTCATAAACTGATTAAGTTTATTTTTCATGCCGTCTGCCGTGAACTCTGCAATCTCGTTTAAGAAAGTTGCGTTATTATTTATTTACTGTTAATATCCACCATTCAGTACAAAGGTCAACACAATCGTGAAATGTTACGTCTACATTTGAACAGCAGCTCTAATATCCAGAACTGTGCTTAGTCAGGAAAATTCTGAAAGTCAACATTTTGTGTAGCTTAGTGTGTATTATCAGAACGGACAACCCTTTAACCCCCCCCCCCCCCCCCCCCCCGAAAAAAAGCAATAAAAATGTTCACCTTTTGCATTTTTTGATTTAAGGCAGTAAGGGCTTTGGTATAATGTAAAATAATATTAGTAATAAAATAAAAATTGTAATAATATGAAGGTAATAACGCAGTGTAATGATGTTACGCCTTTTCTTCAAACAACTCCATATTTTTAGAGTTTAGTTTAGTTGACTTTTTTTTCTTGTTAGGTTAATTTAACGCTGCAGTGAGTTGTAGGGACTTTAGAAATGCTCTTGGCTGACCATGCAGGTAAAGGGCTGCTGCTTGTTTTTTTTTTTGTTGTTGTTATTTTTCAGATAAAAAAAATAAGTGCACGTTTTTAGGAACTAAGACAACTAAAGCCGGTTTCACACTGCAAGCCTCAGCGGAACGGTACAGCAGCGGAGCGGCTCACTCGCGAACTTCAAAGCGGTCCTTTTTTTTTTCAAAGCTTTATTGAACATGGTGATGAGTATACACACAAATTTGCATACACAGTAAAACAAAGAACATGAAACATATGCCAGGGGGTGCACTACAGAAATGTTACACACATCCAAATAAATTGTATGTAACGCCAGGGCAGCTCGATTATGGCAAAAATAATAATCACGACTATTGTGACTGAAATTGAGATCTCGATTATTCAAGACGTTTTTCAATTTATGTTGATTTTATTTGTTTTTATTCAGTCATAAAATTGCTCAGGACACAATCAGGACAAAAATAAATAAGAAACAAGATGATCACTAAAATAACTCCTGATTCCCAGTATAAAAAGACCAATATACTTATAGCTCATAGTCTATGACCCAAGGGCTATAGACCTTGGTTTAACTCATTTAAGTCTAACCAGTACAGACCTAAATACCAATATCTTGCAAATACTGACAGCAAGAATTATACAGTGGCATTTATAACAAATAAATGAAAATAAATTGATGTTCACAAAATGTTGTACAACATTAATTGAGTCATGTCAAGGTGCTGTAGGAGAGTGCACTAGCACCGTGTCCTCAGAGAGATTAGTTATTAGTTATCAGCGTGAGGAACTTATTTCTACCTTATTTATAAACTATTTATTTACAAGTCCATCAGTTAATCTAATAATTGTCCCAACCACAGCTGCACCCCCCAACCCGGTCTCACAGCAATCAGGGGCAAGCTGCACGTATGTTTAGCACGCCGCACACGCACATTTAGCCGTTTTTAGCAGCTCAGGAGTCCGCAGGTACACTGTGGGTACACTGTGTGTCACTAATTCAACAGGGAGCCGGCTCCGAGAGCCGTTTCTTTAGCGACTGACACATCACTACATCATTCCCTTTCCTAATGTCCTGAAGAACGGTCCGGAGTGCAGGCGGAGTGTTTAGCTAACCTGCAGGAAACGTTGACGACAGTAGCTAAGGGTTACCAGAGACGTTTCTGAGGTGTTCGCTAGGTACTTTTAAGATATAAAAATTCAAGAAGGGGGTCTGAAAAGCTGTTGGAAATAGCGTCAAAGTCGCCAAGTTGGCAACACTGTGGGAGGAGCGCTTCATTTGCAACTCGGGGCAGCGCAAGTGGGAGGAGCAAATAATCGGCTTGTTTTGTTTTTATAATCGTTCAAAACTCAGATCGTAATCGTGATTAAAATTTGATTAATTGAGCAGCCCTATGTAACGCAAATAGTTATCAAAGCGGTCCTTTTCACACTGGGAGAGTCTTGGCCGCGGCACGGCTTCCTCGCTGTACCCGCGAGATTCTAAAATCTCTCGAGACTTCTGACACCTTCCTCATCGAGAGATCACAACCCCCGCGAGGAATCACACCGTTGCACTTCTGGACAGAAACTGGTGGTAAACAAAGCCGTTCGGTCACACATACTGACGTAAGTTACATATAACATCACAACATTGCATTTTCTTTAGAAAATAACCGGGGATTTTCCACTGAAACCGTGTGGTTTTCTGTCTCGCACTATGTGAACTGCGGAAATTGACCTGTCCCAGAAGCGGCTCGCGGAAAAAATCGAACTCAATCCTATCTGTCGCAGCGCGGCACGGCATGCCGCTTCTGGGACGGTTCTGGAAATTGCCGCGTCGCGGCTGGTTTGAAACACTCCATAGACTATATTTGGATTCTATTTGAAACGGTGCCGCTTCGTTGCCGTTCTGTTCCGCTGATGCTTGCAGTGTGAAACAGGCTTGAAACCGGGGTAAGGATCCCACTGGAAAAATAGGAATGTTGTCAGTCATTTGTGTTATTTAAAAGGCTAAAAGTACCGCTAATTTATCCACTAAGACTCCAGTAGAATTCAGCTTAATGAACGACAATCCTAGGACTGCCCACTCCAGTCGCTTGGTCCCAGTCACATGACCAGGTGTTGTGCTTGTTTCTGAACTCACCTGCTCTGATTAGTACCTACACTCTCTGGTATATAGTAGCCGCTTCTCTAAGTATTGCCACTTTTTATTATTATTTTACTATGATTATATTGTTACTTCCTCTTATTTTTGTCTTCCTTTTTTACACCAAGTACCACAGCAATTTCCTAACGTTGTGATTTTCGCACTTATGGCAATAAAACCTTCTGATTCAGATTCTGACTCTGTTTACCAATGAGCTAAATTAAGGACAACAGTGTAAAAGTATCTCGACTGGGCTTATGTTTAATTATCTGTTTGTTTAGAATCATCCAAGAGTAAAATAAAAATCCCTACAAGACCAAAAGGTCACACTAATGAAAAAAAAAAACATGAACCCCAAATCAGAAGCTGGAAAAAACGACAACAGCAGCACCGACATCCATGTGTGAATGCAGACGTAATGTTCTTATAACTGTTTTATTCTGACACTCAGAAAACAATCAGAGGTTACTTATGTCACATACTGACCACAAAAATGTTTGCAGAATAAAGAAAAGGGATCATAATATTTTACCTATGAAATTAACCCAAAACAAAATTACTTTACAGTTTTCAGACAATATATTCTCATAGAAATGACAGAATTCGAGGAAAACGTTCAGCTGAATTGAAAATACACATATAACCCCACTTCATATAGGAATACATATAAAACAGTTACTCAGGGAATCGTGATGTAGGTCGTGTGTGTGTGTGTGTGTGTGTGTGTGTGTGTGTGTGTGTGTGTGTGTGTGTGTGTGTATACATCTAAATGTGTTTACAAGAGCTGCAACTTTTTTGCTTGTTTTTTTTTATACAAATATTTTAGGTGGAATAATAAACTCACCTGCCAGCTTATCAGGGCTTAGTGAATACTTGTAAATATAAATGATGCATAAAGAGTGTTTTCTTCTCATATGTAAACATCTCAACACTACTAGTAATCAGTGTAAACATATGGATCAAAGAGAGGACTGGTTGCATATTAAGCTGGTTATGGAATACAACGAAAGCAAACAAACCTAAAAAATCAGGTTTTTGTACGAGGAATTCACATTACTTACTTTAAGCATAATAAAAGGCAATAATCTTTACAATACTGACTGCTAATCAATAATACAGCTTTAACATTTAAGCCTTGATAAGCTGACACTGAAACGGATAAACGCTATTTAAACTTTTTCTTGTAAACTGTTGACAAATCTCCGTGCAGACTGTTGGGAGCAAATCCTGATGACGTCACTCAGACTCGTCCCTGTAACAACACGCTTTTAGAGGCAGAAATAAAAAAGTTCTGAGCCTTCCTCTGGGTGAGATGTTTGTTGGGATAACTTACATTCATAAACAGATCTCCATTTTCTCTTAATTGCATTGCATATGCTAATGTGTTTTAGCATTCGGCGTAATTACCAGAAGAGAATTAGTGTATCACCACACTGTGATGACCATAATGGATTAAAATGTCCATTTCAGCAGCGTAAATTACAAATCATTTGGATAAACCGTTATTGAAGCGGTAATTTATTTACAGGGTAAAATGACACTTTGAAGAGATGAGATTCTCAAAACTAATTAAGTTTCTTCTCAACTAACAGAACAACAGATTTTATTGTTTACGTAAAATGCCCGAGTTCAGCTCTTGACATGTTTTTTATGTCTGGACGGGTGTTAGGAGTAACGCGCTCCTGATATTTGAGCACAAATAAATAAGTGATGGCAGCTTTGTAACATTAAAGCTGGTGGTCCTGAACAAATGAATGATTTAGGGTTAGTCCTGGAAGAAATTCCACCAACATGTAGAATTGGGCTTATTCCTGTTTATCTTTTTACTCCACTAATGCATGTTTCCTGTCTACCGGCAGGTTCACCAGTACAGTAGTCCCACACTTTAACGCGGCTCACCCTTCGCTGCTACGATATTTCACATATTTTTTCTCGCCAATAAATAAAATGGTGATAACGAAAATCAACATTAACTCAAATCTAATCAGAAAACGTGAAAGACTGGCAAACAGAAAAAAGAACCGATCAGAAATTGGGAGACGACACGAGAAAAGAACCAATCAGAGTCCGGATCCAGCCACCATTTGAACAAGCTAGTGGTAACCATATGTGCCAGTAGCAGTTGAACAATGTATGTGTAAAACGAGAGAATGTCTGCCGCTGAGAGGAAAAACCATTAAATGTGACCATCTGAAAAGTCTTTGCTTGGTGAGCACACATCCTGGGTCTCTCCTGGTCTAAAGGTTAGAGGTAGCAGCGCAGGGGCAGGAGACGAGTGGAATGTGGGCCCCGAACCGAACGCATAGAGCTGGTGCACCTGGTAGTTTTATTGTTGTCATGGTGCTTCGGCCGTGCTATAGTCAGCATTTGGTGTTCTAGCGGTGTTTGTTGTGGGAAAAACATGCAGGCAGCCCATAAAGTGTTCAGGCTGCTCACTTTGGTAAATTAGTTATGGAAAAACTAAAAACAATACACCAGAAAACTATACTGACCTTTTGCATGTTTTTTCTTTTTCTTTTCTTCTTTACAGCGCATTGAAAGTGAGAAAAGTGTGAACATCTTAATGCCTATCTGAGAAAAGTTTATAGTGTGTAGTGAGGGGTTTAATACCCTTAAAACATTTATAATTATAAAAAATAAAGCTGGCTACTTCGCGGATTTTGCCATTCGCGGGATATTTTTGGAACGTAAACGTATAATCTTCAACTTTAAACGATCATGCCAGGTATTAATAAGGGTGACCAGCATCTATTTTCCTACAAACAATCTTATATTCCAGTCATTTTAATGGATGATTTATTGGGTCAGAAATTAACATTTTAATGAAACATTTCAATGGTGGACTTGATGTTTTTTCCTGCAAATGTTCTACAAAATTAATTTCATGGCATCTTAAACTGTCCAAGTCAACGTTAAAGAAACCAAATTCTATTTATTTATGTTATGTTACAAATCTGACATTTAGAGGGCACCTTTTTGCTTTCTTGTGTTATATTGTTTTATTCATCCCTCTATATGTTTCATGGAGTATTCCTAATTAGAAGTTCTGCACTGAATGTAAATAAAGAACAACGAGCGTGAAGCTAAAATAAAGGACTACTTTGACAGACACATTCATTTATAATAAAACTACTGTGTTCTGTGCTGAAACAGTTTCTTGAAAATAGTTTATTGTAATTATTTTGCAAGCAGAGCGGTGATGTTATTACAGGGACTCTAAGTGAAGTCATCAAGACCCTTGGCTAACTTCAGAACGCAGCACGCTAACTTACTGCATCTCCTCCTCGGCTTTCTCCATCAAACAGTCAAACATTCTAATGCATATTTATATATTTTTATATACACATATATGTATGATGCATGTATGTGTGTATATAGCACACAGGCACACACATTCAGATAAAAAAAACATCTATTTCATTCCAGTCTATCTTACTGTTGGTGATCACTAACTGCACACCCACTCGTGGACTCTGCTGCAGAGTTTATATGAGAAACTCTCTCGTTAGCAAATGATAAAAATAACTTTTGAAGTTTGTTTTGCTTTTTATAAAACCTCCAAATGGTGCGGAGCATACACACTAGCATAGAAAAGGAAGAACAAAGTTTATTTTTCCGTCATTACCCACATAAAGATTCTCCTTGACTCATGGAATGAGGTTTTCTTTTTAAAGATACAACATTACTCTATATCATTTTAACATCTTGACTAAACATGACTAGCTGTATATGAGATTTGTCATAAATATGTTACATTTCAGAAAGTGTTGGAAAAAAATAAAGTGCAACAAACATTTCTGATACCACAAACACGTCTGTGAGTACATGTAAAATAAAGAGCATTGGTCAAAGCTTTTGAGTTTCCATAACTGCACTAAGATGTTGACAGCTAACAGTAGCTACACAGAGGTCATCTCAACTCACGTAGCACAAATAGAAGCCAATGTAATGACTGTATGTTGACTAGGAGGTGAGCTTGTCTACTACACATACCTACGTTGCATCTTCTAATGCTCAGGTGCTTTTTTTAAAACATCTTCCTGTACTTTTGTGTGTATACAGTGTAAAATGTGTTATACAGTATATGTCTATCGATATAGTACAGCAGTTGTAGTAAAGAACAACAGTACAGTCTTATGTTATCAGCCTCTCTTGGGGTCTTCACTTAAACAAACTGTATAAATAAGCTTGAGGTGACTGCAAATCTGCTGGTTGTTTTAGAAACTAAACTGTCCTGCCGTCTGAGAAGTGAGCAGCTCTGTGTTCTACTTTGTGAAGTTCAGTTAGTTTATCCTGAGGTAAAATATTGTTGTGCAATGCTTAATGAAAAGATCCCAGTGACTAGTGGAACAGCCCTCCGTGCTGTGCCATCATGGCGAGTGTGAGTCGATGTAAGACGTATTTGGTGTTACGGTGAGTCCAGGTTAGTGAGAATGTGTGACCATGTCTGCTGCAAATTCACTTCATATGCAGTTCTTTTAAAACCTGCAGCTGGGGTTTGGGGAACCACAGATAAATACATCTGTTTGCACTCATTGTAGAGAGTATGAACAGTTGTTTTATAGAAATTGAACCAAAAACATGTTGAGGTTTTCAATCAGGAGTTTCAGAAATCTAAGGTGATGTCTTTAAAGTAGAAATCTGGAGTTTTTTTTCTCAAAGGGCACCATCTAGAGGTGAAAAAATGTATGGCACCCTAAGCCCCTCTCCCTACTTCTCTGATAACATCTGGAAGGAAAGCCTCTCATTCGTGAACGTGCCCTTCTAGTCGGTAAAAACGTACCCCTACTGCATACTGGAAACATCAGCGGCGCGGAACGGTAGCAGAACCATTTAGTTCTACACCGGGAGAGTATCAGCCGCGGAGCAGCATCCCCACCGCCCTCCTCGCTGGACTCGTAAGATCATAAAATCCCCCGAGACATCAAAGTCACAGTTTGTTTAAGCCATCCGCCATGAAACCAAAAAGAAGACGAAGGAGATCACGATTGATATTATAATGTTGTTTCTCTCCACTGCCAGGATTAAAGCATGGAAAACACACTCAGTGCTTTTACATGCAGCCAGTAACCCTTTTAAAACCCGAATATTCACAATAACCCGGTTCCGCACGGCCATGTAAACACCGCCAAAAACCCGGATATGCTCATAACCGGGTTTTTAAAAACCCGGTTACTACACCTGGAGTAACCCTTTTCTAAACCGAATGTTTGGTCGTGTAAACGCATACCGGGATATCCCCATCGAAGCGTGTGTTCTGCGCATGCTCTGTTCGCAAGGAATCTTGGTCTTTTGAGTAGCGAGACGTCTTGTATGCGCCAGAACACCGGAAGTAAACAACAAGTTGGGAGCAACATGGCGAGTCGCGGCACAGCACCACACTTTTGGAGTGACGAGGAAACTAAAGCGCAAACAAACGCGGTCGCTACCTCTTCTGAACTGGGAAACATGTTGTTGTTTTCACGGATACCGGAACAAGAAGAACCGGAAATGACGCATATTGCGTCTTGACGTAGTCCATACGTCCTGACGCTACCCCAACGTCCGCATATAAATCGGGTTATGCAAGTTAGGGGTAACTCTTTCTATTTATGCTTGTAAACGGGTTATTCTGATCAACTCAGAAACCTGAATACCGACCTTAACCCGATCATAACCCGGATATTGGCTGCATATAAACGTAGTCACTGTTGCTCTTCTCAAAAGATGCTGGGAGTAAATAAGCCATTAGATCACATGTATTCACATAATTTACACAGATATGAAATAGCATCTCTGCGATAGTCTTTTATTTTGAAATTTACCTGATATTTTACACTGAAACTGTGTCTTTCCTGTCTAGCCCTATGTTAACTGCGTACAATTACGTTTCCCAGAAGCGGCATGTGGCAACAATAGAACCTGATCCTATCTGTAGCTTCTGGGACGTGTGTGGAAATTTCCGTGCTGCTGTCAGTTTGAATCAACCCTTTTAGACCATAAAGGATTTTATTTGAAGCACTGAAGTTCCACTGCCATTCCGAGCTGCTGATGCTTCCAGTGTGAAGTAGGCTTTACTTGTCTGTAAGAAATGTCGCAAACTCAGTCAACGGACTTCCACAAGCATGCACACGCTCTGTGATTGATACCTGTATGTAAGCTGATGTCTAACGCTATTGGCAAAATCATTTTCACAGATTTATTAAAGATCATAATTCCCGAAAAGGGGAAAACTGTGGACTGCCACATTAAACAGTCTGTTTTAATTCAGTGTAAAAAAACAACATTCAGCGTTTTCTCTGTTGATTAACCAATTTATTTGCTTTATAGTAATCTAAAATAATCCATTACAACATTCTTCTAATAAATCAAATTTACACACTACAGTCTCTAATGACTTTTTCTTATGTTTCCTCATTTTTTACTAAAACTTTACACATTAGCTCCTCAGCAAAATGCCGCCTGTACCAGCCACCGGATCCTTGTGCATAAAAAACTATGAACTACTTTTAGACCTAAGGTGTGTTTACAGGTTTTAGAGCAAACTCCTGAAATTCCTTCTGTGGTTGTAGAATAGCCTTATGAAGTGTAAAAATCCTGGTATTTGTGGGGTTATCGTTTGAGCTGGGAGAGGAGACATTTACAAAACAAGGTCCAATACAAGAACAGCAGCCCTGAAAGCAGTTTTAGGCAGCTTAAAGTGCATGCTTCATTTGGTTCATATTCGCTCCCAATCACTCCTATAAAATATTAAAAATACCACTGAGCATGAGATGAGATGTGAATTCAGGCAGCCGGTGGGAAAAGCAAATGCTCATCCCGATATTACCTTTTGGCTGTGCTTATACAACGTTGTCTCTGAACGCAACCCTACCAGCACTTTGTTTACCCCAAACCAACTGGTGCTGCAGAAAAGCTGCATATAAAGAGATTTGCAGGAGACCCGGGCTGCCTTGTGAGTCCTAAAACTGAAATCTGACCTTCGTGACCCTTAACACTGCATGCTGTCATTCCACATTGTACAGCTTGTAAGGCTTCACTGCAAGTGCACAACAGTTGGACAGTCTAATGTTAAAAAGAAAAACAAAGCAATCAGAGCAGTGCTGTCTTTGGACTAAGAATTACCAGGCCTGCTAGTCAGCATTGAGACCAAATGTTTTCTATACATTATGAGAAACTAACATGTTAGAATATGGATTAGATGACATGTTGATCAGCATTGACCGGATTCCTGCTAGTTTTGTGTGTATGTAACAGAAACGTCCCAGTATTTTCTTAGTCAGACGACAGCAGCTGCATACACACACCTCTGAGCATGCATCATGCGTGCTGCAGTAGGCTCACATTGGTTATGGTGACACAGCACCCATATACAGCAATCAAGATAATGCACATGTGCATAAAAGTTCCCAAAAGAAAACCAGAAGCACAAAATGAATACAAAACAAGAGCAGACCAATGATGACATCAAAGAGGTTGTTGTAGAAATATCTGCTTGAGAGGGTGTCAGGGGAGGGGCTCAGCATGTGGACCTGGAAGCTTTCTGTTTGATTTAGCTCTCCACCAAGGGCCGGGTGTTTGCTTGTTTTGTGTTATTTGTTTATTTTTTTTCTTTTAAAGATAGTTTTTTTATTTGATTGTTGTTTGGGGGCAATGTCTCTCTGTCTTTTCTCTCTTTTTTTCTTTCTTTTAGTAGGGAGTGAAGCGACTGTACCCTCCTCTGTATAGGCTAGCCTGCAACATCAAAGATGAAAAAGTACCAATCAGTATTCAGGTGACAGCGTTCGTTGGATTCTCTTTCTCTACAGATTTCCTTCCTTTACAGTTATTGACGCTTCATGTTGAAATAACATCCTGTACGGTCATGAGGCAGATTGATAGTTTGATATATTTATGCCAATAATTTATTTTTTTTTTTTTGCTGAATCGATTGCCTGACTGCTCTGAGTGTGTGTTAGGAACAGGGTCACAAAGAGTTGAGCTACGTTGGCGGATTTGGAGCTAAGCTGGGGCGATTTCTGTGGCAGAAAAATAAAACACATTTAAATAATTACTGCAGTAATGAAAATAGCTTATAAACACCGAAGGTGGGGTTGAATTTTTCCATCTAATTACAATAATTAAAGAGGGGATAAAGAAAAATAAATAAACATTTTTTCCCCCTACTGGAGGAAATCACTCTCTACAAGGCTATAAAAGTATCAGACATTCACCCAAAAGCAGAATGAGGTCAGAGAGGTTTAATCTCAGCTCCTTCTTCTGTGTAGCAGAGGCGCCTGCACCTTTCTGCAGGGGCAAACCACCGCCGGATATTAACCCTTAGATTTAGCACCATGCTCAACATATCTGGGGCAGAGACGCATAAAGCATGCAAGTGGGCCTGTGCATGCACACCTGCACATGCACGCACACACACACACACACACACACACACACACACACACACACACACACACACACACACACACACAGCTCCTAGCTCATTTCTGTGTTGTTCTGTTGCAATTAGAAATTCAACTCGAAAAGCCACTGCATGTCTTCAAAGGGTAATTTTGCCTATAATTTCCGGGAGTCCTCCTGCTCGTACAAAACTTTCATCCATACGAGACGCGTCTGCAAGCTGGAAATGAGTGAAGTTTCCAACCTCAGAGGAACTAGTTACTGTATAGCTTTTAAATGTAAAAATGACTGCACTCTGCTGGAGAAGCATTCATCAAATATGATTAAACGGGTTATTTCTCTTTAGCTCCTGAGTTTATTAGATGTTGGCCTCCACACAGAGTCTCCCAGTAGCCTTACTATTCGTTTAACATCTCTCTCTCTCTTTCTCTCACTCACATTCTCTTGCACTCTCTCTCCCGTCTGTGTTAGCTCCCCATGCTCCCAACACACACAGCGATAGCTCAGATAATTTTTGGGGCCAGATCCTACTTTAACTGAGAGGACGATTTAAGTGTGAGAGACATGGAAGGAAATTTGGAGGGAAAGAGGAAAGAATAATAAATAAAAAAAACATACAAGCACATTTTAATTAAGTAAATGAAGAGGGAGAAAGAAATGTCCTAATTAATGAAAGCTTTTAGCTAGCAGCTGCACCGGGGAACTGAAAGCTTTATTTTTCCTTGTTGTTGAAAAATCGCATGCATGCCGGAATGGTAAATGTGAGTCATTTGTCTAGCAGAGAGCACGCCTCCTATCAAGGCTGTGGGCAGTAGAAGAGGGTGAGACAACTCCTTCCCTCCGTCTTGCTCTCTCATTTATGTCCCACGGCACGCTGCTGCATGCATTTGATGGTCCTTAATATCTACGTTTGGTCTGTGAGGCTGGTCCCCCCCCCCCCCCCCCCCCCCCCGCCTTAAAACAAAACCAAAGAGAAATTTGCAAAAATAATGAAAAAAATAAGCTGCTTTATTTATTATCTTTTCATCTTTGATGTTACAGTAGCTGCAAAAGCTAGCTAAAAACAGACATTAACAGTTGAACTTCATCCCTTCGGATTTGACTGAATGGAAAATAAAAGGGGATCAAACTCACTTGACAGCGAGTTGAATGATGTAAAATGAAAAGAAAAAGCATGGAAATGCTAAGTTCAGGTTCAAATGAAACAAACAAACACAGCAGTGATCATTCTCAATAGAGGAGGAGCTTGAGTCAAATCAGTGATGCATGAGGTGAGCTTGTGTGGCATAACATACGTTTATTGCACTAAATGTCTGAGTCAACTTCCACATGCCGGGGGTTTCACAGTACAGCTCAGCTCCACTAGGGTGTGCCAGAGAGCATGACAAAAACTAAATAAATGAAAAATACATGAATAAAAACCAGCGACTGCTTCAGTCTCTGGCCTTTATTTCAAAGTGTGTGCTCGTTAGTGTCATGATGTTTGAGACAGGGTGCAGTCAGAACCGGGCGGCGCTCTCGGACTTACCATGGTCCCCACACTGTACGTGGCAGCAGGGCCAATCGTGTGGTGATAGGGGTCTGCTGTTGCATAGACTCTGCCATAGCTGCACAGGAAGAGGCACAGAGAACACGGCCATTGATCCATCATTGACAAGCAGAGAAGAACATTTATGCATGCGTGTTTAACGCTCAACCCCTCAAGTCGTCTCTTTCAAGTCTCTAACACTATCAATTATTTCCCTTCTCGGCCTCCTGGGCTTCCTGCATTATACAAGGTGGTTCACAAAGGGAAGTTCAAAGGTTGGTGAGTTATACTACTCTTCTCATTGTCACCTTGATTAGGTGGATGGAATAGGTAATGAGCAGCGAGAGACAGCAAAAGAAGGATGCGAGGAGGGAAATGCAGTAGGAGCTGGAGGGCTTGCTCTTTCCCCCCGTGCTTGTTTACCCAGGCTGCACACTGGGCTCACGCCCTTGTCTTTTCATTGTTGCTGGTTTGGAACTAATCCTTCCAATTTCCTTCTGAGACAGGACAAGATGTGTCTGCCTTATTTATTTATTTATTTATTCAACTTCACATATTCCTTCTGTTTTTTTTTTCCTTCTTTTCAGTGCTTGCTTGCAAATGAGGGTCTGCACAGGGAAGATAAGGCACACCCAGCCAAGGACTGAGGGCACCAAATCAACCAGGAGTAAAGTGGAGAGAGGAAGAAATTCTCTCAGAGGGAACAGCACGACATGTAGCATTCATGTCTTTCACATGAGATGTGTTGAGTTACATAAGACGTCACTGTGGCTCTGCTCATTTACGTCCGGCAGCACCCAAGGTCAGTGAACGAGACGTAGAACCAGAGTGGTTGTTTGGTCTCCTGGGGGAGCAGGCCGGTGCCGTGAGATGGTCAGGGGAGAGTCTCTGTGGTCGTTTTATCTTCAGTGAGCACCGAATCCCGCCGGCCCTGTAAGGATAATGTGTCTACAAAATGACTCTCACCAGAGTGGCGGTGATGAGCAGCGGGTCAACCACCCTGTCCAATGTCACAGAGCTTCAACGGCGCCGACTGGTACCTAGCCGCGCGGCTGCCTCCTCAGAAGGCCTCCCCAATAAACTCGGTTTAGTTACTTAAAGAGCTTTGGTAATGCAGCCTGTGAGCACCGTGGCCTTTTCACATAATAAATGTTTCACACGCCTTCCGCGGCCCCGGTGACCTCTTCTCTATGATTGTGCGACTGCTCCACAGATAAGTCCGATAAGGTATTGCTGAGACAATACAGACAAACTTGTATTGATCCAATGGGCATGACCACTTATTCAAAGGGAAACAAACAAAGCAAAACAAACAACTTGAGTGCGAATTATATTAAATCTCGGAGAAAACTATGAGCAAGAGAAACAGGAATTAAATCACACGGAGAAAGAAAAAAAGGCCACTGTCCAATTTCTGCTCTCTCCGAGCACGGCTGCTCATAATTCGAGCTGCAGCGAGGCCTGATAAATCTTACATTATCGATATGATCTTCAGGCTCTCAGGCAGGGTGTACGTTATCACAAGTGACATGCTCAATCCTTTCCAGATTAGATTCCCAAACCAGCCCAGATCCCGGCTGACAACAGCTTTCAGGGGCCAAAATGAATCAGCAATGCCTCCTCAAACAGAGCACACCTGAACCAGACTGACATCACTCAGAAGTGATAGAGCTCCTTCTTGTCCATAACCCCCCCCACCCCCCCCACCCCCCCCCCCAACCCCTATCTCCCACCCCCTGTCACAGACCTGAGGCCATTCATAAATACCACAGTGATATACCCAGTCTCCCATCACTAGCAGAGAGTCACGACATATATCATAGCTTTTCTCATCCAGTCCAACAAAGTTAGTCTTCTGTGTGTGTGTGTGTGTATGCGCGCGAGTTCTTTAGCTTCGAGCTAAAAAAAGAATACGGTAGCATGCCTAATGGATGAGATAAAATTAGAGCCAGAAAACCTCAGGAAACCCTAAATAACCTTCACACAATATTATAAAATGCTGAGGAAGCAGCCACCATTCATCACGGTGTACGTTTGGCCCTCAGATATGTTCCTTATTGTTGGGAAAACACTAATTATGAAAAGCACCTTTTGCTAGTCCTTCAGTCCTCAACTATTTCTGCACCAGTCAGTAAAGTTCTTGTTACCAAAGATAGCGCTCGCAACACATTATAGATGCTTCCATCATTTTATCCTACATTTGGAGGATGACTATTAATTCCCCACTGTCCGCCGCGGATGAAAAATATTCGTTCTGCAAGCTCTGCAACAAGTTTCTGTGTATTTTCTTAATCCTTGGTGCAAAATGTGGACCTCGGATTGTTTATAACATTTGCAGGATTTGTTCTCTTTGAAAAATAAGTTTTTAAACGGTTCAACAGACCCAGAGCAGCTGCAAGGTGGGTTATGGTTTCCATACATCCTTATAAATTTGAAACATTCAGATTTTTTATGTAGTAAAAGAGATGCTTTGTGGAGCTGAATGAGGGTGATTCTTACCTGTCACTGTAAGCAGCGGTGGTGGTGGGTTGGGCAAATCTGTATGCTGCATAGCCGCCCTGTTAAAATACCAGAGTATTAATTAGTGATTAAGCAGAACCTGCACGGAGAAAGGTTACAACTCTAATACACCAGAAAACAACAAGACAGCTTAAATTGCCTTAATAGTTAAATGTCACTGCACAGTATTTTGGTTATCAGCCCACACAGCCCAGCTGCAGCTTCCCCTAAAGACACCAGAGGGCGCTGCTACATGTTTGGTGGTAGGAGGAAGGTGGCAATAGGGGAATGAGCGATGCTCTTTTGTCACACCAGCAGCATCACAGAGGCCACGTGAGGCACCAGCCCAAATTCAGACCATTTTCAGACTGACTTTCTGCTGCTGCATTATTGAAGATCCCCTTTTTCCTTTACACGACCCCCTTGGTTCACAAATGAAGTAAGAAGGCAGAAGACAGTCGGACCGTTGGGGAGTCAGGGCCGCTGTATTCATTTGCCAGAGTGGGGAAGGAATTAAAGCCCTCATTGTGGAGTGCTGCTATTACTCTCTTTGAAAAATGAAGCTGTTCTCCCACTGTTTTTCTGTTAGTGCCACAGGAGTGTGTGCCCATCTGTGTCCATGCGGCAGATAGGTGGCTTTTAATAATGCATGTTTTCATTCATTTTTAAACTCAAGGGGAAAGCCGTCCGATTGAGAGGCAACGGCCTGCGCGTGAAAACAAGGCGGGGCCGAGGCAATTCCACTCCCATTTTTCTAATTCTCCTCACGGTTTTCCAGGGGGACAGGAAGTCGCAGTACTCGAGGCAGATGACTTCCTGTGGGACAGCCATGCCTTGGGACTGTGCTGATTACAGCAACAGCCCGAACAAACAGGGGCCAATAAATCACCACATTGTCAAATCCTGCACACAGCAGTGCAGCACATTTGTTATTTTGTCATGGAGAGTATGTGTTAGTGCAATCATGAATGTGTGCACTCACGTGTTTTTGCATGGCAGGGCATGCATATGTATTAGCATATGCAATCTAGGTGGTGTACATTTATATGTGCATGCATACACTTTTTCAGACATCAGTAGGCGACATTTGACAGCCTCCTCTGAATCAGGACACTGAGGGATAAAAGACCTTGTGTCCCAGACTCAACCAGAGCAGTGGTTGTCGCCCAAGCTAATGGCAGTGAAGTGTAGAGGCCTGGTTGATGGGGTGAGTGATGATCCAACCTGGTCAAACGTAGGTACAAGGCTTGGCTGGAGGTGCCTGAACGAGACAATCATCCCTCAGAGCACAGACAAGATCTTTTATATGATGGTGGGTGTCTGTGCAATAAAAGCCAGTGAAATACTGTTCTATCATGTCGGCTGGTGTGTAAGTCATATATCACCTGGGTTTAGCATTTCAGTCCCAGTCAGTTTTTGTCAGGCTGAAAGTGAGAAGCGCCTGTCGTCGCTTCTATGCCTGGTGTCACACCGCTGTCTGAGCTTACGGCAGCAGAAAAGAAAGGAGAAAAAAAACTAAACAGTAAAATCAAAGGACTAAATTGCACCCCCCGCATGTTTGGACTGATGTCAAAGTGGGGCAGCGTGGTAATTTTAGCATTATCTCCACAGTGTTCATGATGATCTCTGTTGAATACAGCAGGGCCAGCCCCCGATGTGACCCTAGCTTCACACATTCACATCCAGAGGGAAGGCAAATCCCTTTATCTGCTGTTCCTCTTATCTCCCTCACGGTGATGGCTGGGAGGAATCGGCTCCAGTCAGGCCAGCGCAGACCCCCCCGGGGCAGGCAGGGATATCCCAGCCAAACCCTCTGAGTGAACACAAGGCAGGTCAGAGACGGAGGGAGGCCTCAAGAACCCAGACACAGCTAAACGAGTAAGTGACCCAACTTGACATGGGACACTGATTCAGGGTCCGTCTCTCTGCCAAAGTCTGAGATCATAGGAAGAGAGAGAGGAGGGAGGAGCTGAGGGGGTTTTAAATTTTGTTGTTGGGTTTCTTGGCACACAAGACAGAGGCCTAATCGACGCCGACTTGGCAGCGAGGCTGGGTGAAAGCTGGGGGTAGAGGAGATCACGTTTTTGTCTCCAGGGCTGAATCTCCTGTCTGCTGTACTTTTGTTTCATCTAAGCAGGCACTAACGAAGGCACACTGTACTTACATAGATCTCTGCGCCATAGAAGCCATCTTGGTACACCACCCTGTGAAAAATGTCAAACAAGAAAGTAAGAGTTAGTTGAGTCGGTCCACCCCGCTATTAAACCCTAGCCACTCGTACTTTTGTGTGTCTAGAGGGTCAGCTTTTGGCAGCTTCAGTGCACCGTATCACAAATAATGAATAGCACATTAAACTGAAAGGTGCAGCTATTTCAGATCCCCGTCCAATTTTCTGCTCTGGTAAAATTGTTTGTCTTTCCGGTTCCTGCAGTTGTTGTCAGGAGGGCTGCTGGTGCTTGTGTAGCGAAAGAACGGGAGGACAATGGAAAGCAGTGCAGGCTGCTTTGTCACATGACTCTGCTATATAAATCAAACAGCTGCCATCAGTACCAAAGGGCCCCAGAGTGGGAGGGAGGGGAACGAGAGATTTCTAGTCCCAGTTTCAGTGGCAAGTGCTCCTGCAGTAAGACCGATCCAGATCTAATCACAGATAGAGGGCTACTCTGGGCCCTCAGCCGGCCTCAGTCAGACCTCTCCCATGGCCACACAGACAACTACTGATAAGAGGTGAGAGTGAGGCTGCACCAAGCCCAGAGATCTGTACAAGCCCTGGTCACAGTCCACTGAGATCTGCCTGGTAATACACTATCTCAGCTCCCTACAGCTCTCACCCTGGCTTTGTCAGATGCTCCTTTGTCAATAAACAACATACAAATAGAATAACAGGAAAAAGGTTGAATATGCATCCAGATTCTCAAAGACCAAAGCCTGGGACAAAGATTTGAATTTCATTTACACTGCTGCAACGAGTGCATACAAACCAATGTTTGTTGTTGTTTGCAGTTAGGCGCGTAGTTGTACCTAAAGAGAGGCCAAGGATAGACCACTTACGCTCCATAGGCAGGGATTGGTGGAGGTGGTGGAGCTGTGCGGAATGTGTTGTACACAGCCCGTCCTCGTCCCCGCAAGTGGGCACCCCTGTAGGCCACCGTAGCGCCTGTGGCAGGGTAGGGAAACCCTGTTACTGTGGAGGAAAAAACAGAAAGAGAAGAGAAAATGACTTTCAGAAAACATCCTCAACTTGGCATTGCTTACCTTATGACAGAATACATTAGAGAGAGAGACGTGTGGCACTGCTTTCCCCATGACAGAATGCATTATGTGGAAGACAAGGAAACAATAGATTTAATCTTTTCTAGGTGCGCCTCATCGAGCACTCTCGCCTTTCCCAGCTCTCTGCTTTGTGCCGTACTCAGCAAGGATCCACGTTTGCTGTGTGCATCCTTCCCTGATGCCTGGTGAGGGGCAGCCTTGAAGTCCAGGTAGGTAATGGATGCAATACAACTATTTTTGCGCTGTGGCTTTTGCATAGAGTACACCCAACGGGTTAGCAGCAATGAGGAGCAGGAGGGAGAGAACTGATGTGCTGTGGTAGTAGCTGAAGAAACTGGCAAGCTGCTGAGAACTTCCCTGAGGCTGCTGGGCCATATCTACACGTTGCCCTCTGCTGCTGGGGTCAGGGTGGGGTTGGGCGAAAGGCTTCAGGTTGAATGGTGAGAGTTCGTTTGACAGGTTGGTCACAGAGAGATTAGAGGGCAGCCTATGCGAATGTCAGATCTTCATTTAACCTTCAATCAGTCCATGGGCTGTCTGATTACAGGCTGCAGAGGTGCATACAAACACTCTGATCTCTAGGCATGATTAAGTTGGCCTTGGCTCTTTCTGCAATTGTAATTCCCTCACAGTTCCCTTTCCTCTGGTCCTCCCCCTCTTTCTCCATCCTCCAACACAGGGTCCATCAAAAAACAGTCAGCACCATTATTCTTCATCTCCAGCAAACGCCCGTTTGTCACCTTCCCCTCACCCCTCACTCTTTTCACTCATTTCCATGACATGTTTTCAGTGAATGTATCACAGAACACATCCAATCAGAGTTCACTCGGTAACGGTGAGTTGTCCTATCTCGTTGCGTCAGTTGTGCTTCACTTGGCTGGTTAATAACACGCATCCAGTGTGAAGCCCACTGCTGCAGAAGATGACCTCACAGTCTCACTGCAACAAAACCCGGTAGTATCTGTGCTTCCACCTGGTGTTTCTGGGCTGTTTGTGGCATTAACACCGAAGGTGGTTGCAACCATTGAGCACCATAATGAACAACGCACACACTCCAGCCCTGTTGCTTGAATAAAGTTGACAGGGAGACAGATTAGTGGTTCTTTTAATAACAGAGGGCTAGGTTTAATGTCTTCTGTCATTAATATCGCGCTCCTTTAGTGAGTCCAGACACATTCAAACTTTGCATCTCATTTGGCCAGGTGACTCCCACATCCCTCCACCAACATGCAGGGGCACTTTGTTTACTGCCAACGTACCAACCTACTGCCTGGACTTACAGAGTGCCCCCCCTCGAGTGATTTATAATGCTGACCTTGACATTTAAATTAGTCTTTTTTGCAGGAACAGTGGTAGTCTGAGAGCGCAGTTGCTAAAGGGCATGTTCAAACCCTCTTTCTAAGGTGTTTTTTTTGCTCCCTCCTCTCAAAAAGAAAGAAGTGGAAAAAAAAGCTTCTTTCGTTTTTTTTTAAAATTTGTATGCAATCTGCATACAGTGATGTATGTGAATGTAAACTCATAATGAGTTGGCGATAGGCTACACTGCTTCAATAATAACCCATAAATCAAAGGCACTGTCACACCTTGGTAAGCGCATGAAAAGCAACAACAGCCGCGGCGTACGGGAGCACAAACCTGGTCTAGCCACCAAAGTCAAACACCTTTTCCGGGAGGGGTGCTGGAGAAAATATGAGTTATGTGCTGGAGGGCGGCAGGGTCGCACTCCACCTCATATGTCATATGTGTCAACTTGAAAGAAGCTCAATACCTGCAGAGCCAGTTGGACCTGGGGTAATCCAGCTCTGTGCCAATGATGGGTCATAACCAGCTTCCATAAAGAAAGATCTGATTTTCCACAAGGTTGATCTCTAATACTTCCTGCTCAAATACACGAGCATTAATCCACGCACTGGGGACCAAAAACAGCTTAATCTAATCAAGAGTGTGGAGCTTAATTATCCCCCCAAAGTACACTCCAACAATGAGAGGATCTGTCTACATATATTAAGATGGCAATTAGCCTTTCTTTTCTGTCATTTACACAGCTGGTAGCTTTTCACAAGTCCTCCAGAAAACTCCACCGTAGAAACAGAAAATATGAATTGGGAAGTGAAAAGCTACTCATCTCCTGTTTCCCTGGAAAAAGCTGCAGCGAAGAGCCTCTGAGTGGCAGCCTGAGGAAGTGGCCATATGATGACATTTCTAAGTGACAGCTGTCTGTGGTGCTGAAAACCTCCAACAAAAGTAATGAAGAGAAGTTTGCCAATTATTTTAAGGATGAGTTAAAGTGCAATCTGCACCGCACACAGCTCTGCCTCACACCCCTTTATATAATACGTCATGTGAAATGATCAGCTGTGTCTGTTAAGTTGAATTTAAATGATTAATATTATCTATGATCGCAGGAAATCAAAGAATGTTTGATTTCAAAATCACAGCAAAGGACATTAAAACAGGAGAGAGGCTACATTTAGAGCCGTTATAGCAAATCTACGGAACAAGCTAGGTTTTGAACGCTAACACAGTCATGAAACACTCACCCCTCCCTTCAGGTGTCTTTCCTAAGATGCTTCTGCATCGGAACCGGAAACCCACCATGCCAGATGAAACGAGATCGCGCTAAACACCGGTCTCCATTTTCTAGGTCCAAACATCTTTTGTTGTCCAGGACCTCAGATGTTATTTTCTTTTTGGTCTCTGGTAGTTTGTCCTGAAGTTGAAGTGGTAGCAGCCGGCTGTTTCTCCTTCTCTGATATTACTGAGCAGAGAACCTCTCACACCAGAAGTGTTCTGTTGCTAAACACACGTGTGTGACGAGTGGAGGATGGACGTGCAGCGGTTCAGCGGCCCTAACAGCCAGATGGCCCAATAGCTGGTTTGGGCCTGAAACGCGTTGTTGGCAAAGGTTTTTAGACAAACGTGAGAGAACCACTTTATTCATTTTTCTCCAGACTACATTTATGTTACGATGTTGTTTAAAGGCATGGAAAAATGTTTTCAGCTCATTTGTATTGCAAATTTGCCGTTGCAGCTTTAATTGGACATCGTCAGTAGAAGACGGATGCGAACCTAGGGGTCTGTGCCACAGGCCCTTGGCAGACCTCCCCAACCCCCCACCCCAATCAGGAGGAGGAGCCAATCTTCCCTGGAAGAGGTTAAGAGTGGGGAGCCGGCGTGAGGCTCTCATCCGTCATTCTCCTGAATGGGTTTTGAGGACAATAAACCTGTAGCGCCAGGACGAATGGAGACGAAGTGTGCTGTCACCGAGCCAGGATTTATGGCTCCCAATTTCACTGATCTCCTGCACAGAAATGAGGACTGATAAACAGTGATTAATCGCCTTTATATCCCATTTTACTCCCATCCAAAGTATATTAACTATAACTATGAGGGTTTTGGAATATGTCTAGATTTCCGCAACAATTTTTTTCTTAAGTAACAAAAAAATCTAACATTCAAACAGGATGAAACCGCCTTTTCCTGCACATTAAGGAGGTTTTGTTTCAAAAGTCTATCTCTTATTTATGTTTCCCATCTTCCCAGCTGGCAAGCATATGTTGTCGTTTAGGCTTGGCAAACTCCAGCGCCATGTCAAGACGACTTGAAAAATTAGCAGCCAATAAATCACCCAACCCCTCCTGCTTCCCCTGCCTGGAGTGGTGGACCACACTCCCTCTGATTTATGAGATGATTTGGGAAGTGTGTGTGTGTGTGTGTGTGTGTGTGTGTGTGTGTGTGTGTGTGTGTGTGTGTGTGTGTGTGTGTGTGTGTGTGTGTGTGTGTGTGTGTGTGTGTGAGTGAGAGAGAGAGAGAGAGAGAGAGAGAGAGAGAGAGAGAGAGAGAGAGAGAGAGAGAGAGAGAGAGAGAGAGAGAGAGAGAGGGAGGGAAAATCATGCATGAAAGAGGAGATTGCATTAGTGTGTGTGTTCTACATAGGTTATCTTTTCCTGTATTCTGATGTATTTTGGACTGTGTGTACAAAATAAACAGGGTTGGCTCACTCTGTGCATGTGTGTGTACATGTGTGTGGCTGTGTGTGCATGCACATGTAGGGCAGTAAAAATGAATGTGTAAGTCAGGTGCAAACTGCCTAAATCTTTGAGTTGGAGAAGATTCTACCTGACCATGTCAAAATGCATCTGTCTGAGACACTAAACGCAACACACTGGGAGGCACACGCACTTGTGTGCATAAATAATTATCTGAGAAAGATGTTGAAACCTAAAGAGAGTTGGGGGGAGGAGAATGAGGTGAGTGGGAGACAGGGGAGGAGGCTTGGAGAGGGTGAGGGGTTGGGGATGAAATAAAAATGATAGATGACTGCTTTCTGTCATGGACAGTTATTTAGAGGTTTGCCGTAAAGCTGTCCGGGGAATGAACAGATTTTAGTCTAATGAGCAGAAAGGAAAGCCGTTAAAGTGGCGCGATGTGCTCAGCACTTCTTCCAAATGAAATAGTACCATTTCCCCCTCATTAAAATGCAAAGGGTTCATATAACATACAGCAATAAAGCCGGCATGTCGAGGCAGAGAGAGATAGGGAAAACCCCACTGAGCTCATCTTATTCCTCCATTACTGAGACCAGAAGGAATAGTGGCCTTCGACAGGGTGGGTGCCAACAATATCACTCACTCAATCTCCCTTATTCGGTTAGCTCTGTAAAAGTCAATCTGGCGCACTTGGCAAATCCATCCACAGCAGCAGCCTCTACAATCTGATAACAGTTGCAGGGGTGCTTGCTCTTGAAATTATTTTTTTCTCCCAGCTTTACAGTTGCACACTGCGCAAACAATGGCTCAGGCTCCCTCAGCCACTTCGAGAAGCTTGGATCATCCACTGCTTATCTGAGCCACTCAGATTCACTTTGATTTAAGGGGAATTTCATGTTCAGTAGGTTCAGGATGAACCCGATTGTGAAAAATCAGGATTTGGATTGGCTGCAGCTGACGGTAGCTACAGGTATAGTGCAGTGCAGCAGTGGAAAGAAGAAAGAAAAGACAGAGAAAGAAATAATGCATGTAGTGCAGTGCATCTCACCAGCATACAGTTCAGGACCATAGACAGCTCCTACTACTGGATTCAGCTTCCAGCCTGCAGGAAAACAGAAGGAAATCAGAAACAAGTTTGCACAAACTCTGGTTCTCGTTAGGCCTCATGGGAGGTTGTGGTGCTTACCATTTGTGTAGGGGTTGGCCACCTTTTTGTTTGTCATCACTCGTGCGGTTGCATTGTTCACCTGCCGTGAAGAACCAAACATTCCAGTCAGATTTATTCAACATCATCCAGACTTCCATGATGGGTGAGCAGCAAAATGGAAAACTGAGTTTTGTTCATCTCACTATGAATTTGCTGCTTTTATCACCAGAACAAAAAGAAAACATGCACCAATTACCCAAAGAAAGATAATCTTCCGATGTCAGTAAGTGGTTGAATAAATAAAAGTCTACAAAAAAAAAAAATAAAAAAACAGGCCATACTTTTTTTTTTCCTTTTGACCTGATGGCAGCGACTGAGTAGGAACTTGGCTCATCGTAAACAAAACAGAATTGGAGCAGGCAACATTAAACGATGGTGATAAAGGAATGCAGGTCTTCTCAGACTTGATAGGAACCCAGAAGACGAAGGCATGCATTCATTCTCCTTTGTCAGGTGATGATGGACAACTTGCATGTCCAGCTTGACATGTATGGATTCCTCATTCTACTGAGAATGAGTTACACGCACCATTATGCATGCATGCAGCCCGACACACTCAGAGATGCAGATGCACTCACACACCAGCAACATGCTTATGCACGGGCCTAGAGGCAAGGCGAGAAGGCAGCAGGCAAGAGAGGAAATATGAGAAAAGGGAAAAAATGAAAGCACCTCTATTTTGCGTCCCTCTACGATAGTACCGTTTAGTTTCTCCCGTGCACGATCGGCATCTGTGCTTGTTTCAAAAGTTACAAACCCAAAGCCCTGAGAGCGCCACGTTAGCCACAGGCAGAGACAAGGGGGAGAAAGAGAAGATGGACACACAAAAAAGGGAAGGGAAGACAAGAAGGGGAGAGAGGTGAGAAGACAGAAGAAGGTGAAAAGCAGTGGCGGTAGTCGAGTTGTAAGCAGCCAGATTAATTAGAGGCAGTTAGTGAAGTGTCAGGAAAAAACAAACAGAGATCCGAGGAGGAGAGAATAACGGTGACACGACCTCACACAGCAACACCAACAAACCTGCCCACTTTATCCAATTAAACAGCACAGCTGCAGTGGCATGGGTGAATGTCAGGAAGCAGGAAACGCAGAAACACCGTTGGCTGCCATAATAGTAGTGTAATTATCTACAGGCTTTCAGCAGCGGGCCCACTTAAACAGCCTATCTCCCTTAGAAGATGTAGAAATTCTCTTCAGAGAGATGCTGACTTGATCTCTGGTCATTTAAAAAATACTAACCATCTGGACATTTCAATAGAATGGGACAAAAGCAAATGATACCGGTGCAACACAGTCCGCCGTGGTAGAGAGAAGCGAGGATATTAACTTTAGACCCTGACTAAAATATACCCAAACTCTCATTTCCATCCCATCCCCCCACCAAGACTCTCCGTGACACGCTCCCCTGGGAGGCTTTGTCACTTCCTTGAGTTATGTGGACTGGGATACTGGACCTGAGCTCTGTGGGGCAGGTATTAAGATATTCTGGCCAAACAAGTCTCATTCCTTTAGTTTCTATATATATACTTATAAAGGTAGGTGCAGGGGAACAGGGAGCATGGCCGGCGCTGCCTGAAAATTGCTTGAGGATGTAATACATGTGAGAGATGGCGAGCAGTGTGATCCTGCATGCTCAGGATCCCCCGGCTGCTGTTTCCAGCATAAATAACGCAGCTCCTGTCCTCGGGGAAAGAGAGATAAAGAAAGAAATTCAAAAAGAGAAATCGAGGGCAAAATGAATCCTTTGGACACTCACCTGACTGCGGTTACCACCTCTATCTCCTTTATTTTATTATCATGCACAAATAATTAGCTTACACGAAGAGAGATTGGAGCCGCCATTTTTCAAAGGAGACAAACATATTGAATGCAAATTGCCAAAGCTTCATAGGAAATAGATTATTTATTAATGGCCTGATAGGTTCATTATATAGCACAGAGTGTGCGTGCGTGAGGGAGAGAGGCATCATGGGTAATGGCTTTGTGGGGCACAAACAATAAATGCTTGTTACGGCGGAGGAGGCAGGTTTATCCGGTACTCAATCTTGCCTGGCAGAGAGGCTGAGTGCAGCAGCAGCAGCAGCAGCAGCAGCATGGTCTGGTTCCAGGACACCCTGCATGCCTGTATATGAGCCCAAAAGCACTCCCAGGTATGAATGGGAATCAATAGTATTCATGCCTCAACACCCAGCCAGGGAGCCTGTCGCCTTTATGAATGGAACGCCGTGGAGCTTAGTACACTCTATTAAATGAACAGCTGGATGAGTAGCACTCGGCTGTTCACACCGCCGCGGGCTTCACCTGTCCTGCTACGTGTTTGGGAGACTGATACTGCTGCAACGCCTCAATGCCGTGGCTATTTTTCTTACTGCTGGTTGCTGTTCCTGGTTTTGAATTATCCTTCAGTGATCCAGGGTGTATCAGATCAGATTTCATGTAAGATTTGGGAGTAGGAAAGTCGATTCGTGATATATTTCAGTTGAGTTTTAGGATAAAAAAAACTAGTTTGTGAAGTTCTCAAACACACACCTGAACAAATGGGCACTTATGCTGACTCAGGATCAACGACGCTCATGCGCTCGTCTGCTGTTGGACATGCCCCCCAATAATTGCACCACAGCTTCCTAGTTGGGTATTGTATACTTGAGACCAGAGTGGCTCAGTGTTTCAGGAAAATGCTGAGGTTCTTCTTATTTAAATAAATCTGCATATTTGTGACCTTTTTACAAAGACTAACAACCTGAGTGGGAACTAGCAAGCCTGGGGCCGAGCGCCGCATAAGTGAAGAAGTCAGAAAGTGCTGAGGAAGGGAGTTGCACATTGTTAGCTTTGGCCCTCTCAATGGATTTTTTTTATAAATATCACAAGAAATGCAGAATAAGGCCAACCTCATCCTTCATTTACATCTGCAACATACAGCCAACATGTTCTGTTTGAAGCGTTGGCTAACACTGCTCCTCACATGTTCTGTTTTCAGCCTGAGAGGATTACACATCTGAGTTATGCGGGATCATCTCAGCAAGTGTTCAGTTTTCAAAGAGGTTCAGGTTCTTAAACAAGCAGGTTAAATTCCATACGCTCGAGGAGCCGCAGCCTGCCGGTGGATCGAGCGAAATGTGAAACAGCTCAATAATAAATTGATTGACAGGGCTAATGATTCACAAGTCGGGTGAGAGCTGCAACAAACAACCCAAACAATAAGGAGGGAGGGAAGGTGAATGTGGCTCTCCAGGACCGGGCTTACAGACCACTGTTCTCCGCCAATGTACACACCACACTAATGCCATCATTAGGAAACAGAAGAAGTACATGGTAATGAAGCAGCTGGTGTTCTAGTTCACTTACCTTGGATCCTCGCTCATTAAAGATAATCTCCACATCTAAAATCTTTCCAAATTGCTGCAGAGAGAAAAGAAAGACAGAAGAGCGGAGATGGAGTTAGAAAGCCTCACTAACTGTGAATTCATGAGAAAGACGACTGGAGAAAGAAAAACCATTAGGGCAATATGGAGGTGTTATTTTTGTGAGGAAATGGTGGTCAATTTGCATTTGTTAGCTCAGCAAACAGTTCTTGAAGGTTGTTGGCATGGTTAGAGAGGACAACTCGCTGCCACTGCTCTAAAGCCTCTCCGTGTTCCCACCAATGAAATCGCATCACAGTGTTTGAAAAAACACTTGATCTTTGTTAAATAATTTCACAACATTTTTGATTTGTGTTTGCTTTTTGTGCTAACACAAACAGAAAAGCAGCATCAGACGGTGTTTTGATGTCATCCCCTTTAGAAAAGTCCCTCCTTCGAGCCTCCAGAGCAGATTACTGAGCTCCGACTCGGGGAGAGTTTACCGCTAGCTCTCTATCTCCTTTCAGGTCTTTACACTGTCTTTGTTTGTGCGCTCACACAGTCAACAGGACCTAAGGGCCGCTCCCCGAGGGTTAACATGCTCCAGCCTTTCGATTTAACAGGCCTGCCTTTGGATCATTAGAAAACAGAGGAATGAAAGTAAACTGTAAGTTCCTCTAATGAGTGGAGCAAGTGCGACTTTTAATTGCTGCCTACAATGGCCGTATTATTTCATTAAAAGTAATTACCCTGTCAAGCGGTCCGCGTCGCCTTCATTTCTGCACAACAGGGAAGAAATGGGCCTTCCATGTGGTCGGCGCTCAATGGGAATGGATGGATCGTTTGACTGAGCCTCTAATAGGGGTTAGGAGGAGTTAGCTATTATCTGGCTGGAGTGGGCTCAAGAAACCGGGGTTTAGCAGAAAAACGTACGCTCTACATCCTTTTGAGGATAATGCAGCCCCCCCATCTCTTCTTATATATCCGTTCCTCTTGGAAGGAGACTCCATAGATCCTATCCACACATCTGTCTCATATGGCACTCGGCTTCACTGATTCGAACAGGGAATGCAGGCTCGATCACATGCGCAGGCATTTATATCCCAGCGTGATGCCCCTTTCCTCGCCCGAGAAGACAATGCTTCCCCCACGCAACGTACAGATGCTAATTGTTTTAACCGAGTGTAATGGGCTTGTGGCGTCGATTAATTAGTTTCAGAGGAAGTCGTCTTTGTGGATTTCCACATGGCGCTGGGGACTGCTCGCTGCTCACCGCCGATCTCACACACACACACACACACACACACACACACACACACACACACACACACACACACACACACACACGGAAACAGCTGCATCAGCAGCTCCGATAAACAATAGCTTGACTGGGAGGAGTCTCCAGAGGGAGGACAGCGAGAGACTGATGTCATCTCCAGCACTGGGCTGCAGCTACATCCATCCACAGAGGATCTTCAAGTTCAGTGACCACACCAGTGGTTTCTGATGTCTCGTCCCATTTATCTCCTGATGTTTAAACGCTGATGCGTTTCCGAGCTCTGCTCCCTTAAAGCTCCCGCTTTATTCTCATATTTGAGCAACTTGGTGCAATCTTCTCCAGTAATTTCTAATCAGCACTTTGATAGCATTACAGAAGAATCAGATGGGGTATAATAAAACTCATGTATGCACTGAAAACATAGCAGCTGAATGGAAATAAATAAAAAAATAGATTTGAAAGACCTAAAGCTGTACAGCACTCAGGAAAAAACAGGGCCGGTTTGCAGTTACGGGGCTAAAGGTTGTAAACAGAGTGATATTTTCCTCCTCTGATGTGAACTTGTAGCTTTTTCCAGCATAACATTAAGATGGACTGCATTTCCTTGGCCTTAAGCTTGTGAGTGTGGAAGCAACAAACAAGATTGAAGCCCTCGTGCCTCCACCTTTGATTAGACCGAATATCTTAAAGCTCCTCAGAAACATAATTACTCTGCTGTGGCCTGCGTGCTCACGTCAAGCACAGGCGTACCGCAGTGTGCTGAAGCACAGTAGTTGGAGTGCGACAGTGAGATGTCTATGTGTGTGTGTGTGTGTGTGTGTGTGTGTGTGTGTGTGTGTGTGGTGGGGGGGATTGCTCTGGGGAATGCTGTGAGAGCCCTTACATCTACTGAGAGAAGCACTGCTGAAGAATCCAGTTGCACAAATGAGGGCGCCCTCAAGCAGCACAGCATGGGCTCCTCGCAGAGCTCACTCGCGCTTGGAGTGTTTTCATTTCCCGCACACTTACCAGCTCTCAGAGATCACAGTACCTAATTACTGATTAACATCCGCTGTGGATGTCCTAATGAGACCTTCCTTCAGCGCCTCGTTAGAAGCTCACAGGTCTCTCCACACCCTCAACCCCACTCTCGGACCCTCCCGTCTCATTTTATGAGCCTGGCTTCCTTCGGAGGCTGAAACAGTTGCTGCTGGTTTCTCTGAGCCGCGTGAGAGCAGATCGAGCTCCTGGCAGGGCTGCGGAGGCACCTCCACTCACTTTCTCCTCCGTCTTCCCGCCTGCATGTCTGCGGGTTTCACTCATGCGTAACAGTAATGGCGTATTGAGCCAGTGGCACTCTGGAAGCCATTAGAGCTAGAGGGATGAGGCTTTGCACACGCTGATCACACAAAGGCCCCTTTGTGAGGCCATGTCAGAGGGTGGAGCAGACCAGCTATCTCTTTTCCAAGCTCTAACCAAGACAATCAATCCCACAATCCTCCACTCTGCCAATGACCAAGAGCAAAAAGGAGAGTAAGGGAACGGAGTAGGCTACATGTGAGCGAGGGTGGAGGTGATTGAGGGAGGCTGAGTGGGCTGCAATCAATTTTCTATCCTATATCTGCATGCACCGGCCAGGCACACAAAGCCTCTGAGCTAATTACGGCGGTGATTTGGATTCCACACGACCTGCACCAGAGCTGGGAACAATAAAGCCAACAATCAGAGAGAAAGCAGCCATGTTGTCTGCCATTTATAAAGCCACAGCTCGGGCTCGCCGGTAATTAATATCATCAGCTCAGTGTTGTCTTCATAACGACGAGAATTAACGCCTCGGGCTGCTAATGGTCCAATTAGTGCATAACATTTGAAGCACATTTTTTGGGTATCGTCTCCATTCAGATCCATTATCGTTATTGGATTTAGTTCAATTGGTATCGAGGCTTGTGTGAGACACAAAGGTGAGTGGCTCGGCTATGTATTGCCTCATTAGTTGGCCGGGAGACAAGAGAGAAGAGGAGGGAATATCTGATGAAGACCCCTGGAATCCTGAAATATGATCTCATTTGTCTCCTGCTGACCACTCCGGCTGTGTAACCTGAGAAAAATTATTTCAACTGACAATTTAATTTCTTTTCGAAAGCCGCTCAAGTCCAAACACGACGAGTGTGAGCCGCTAAAGCAGACAGAATTAAAGTTGCTTAACATTTTATGGGACAAATCTCTCCGGGACTGAAGTCAGAGATGATCAGCTGCAGGTTTCATAACTCAACTAGCTCCTCCCTTGTGTCTGACCTGCAGTGCAGCGCAGAGTTCACACGCTGATTGTGACTGATTGAGCTGTTTATCACTTGCAAAAACTCCGAAGGCTCTCTGTTCTCCCCGGACAACGCAGTAATCAGTGCATTAACTAGATGACAGCTGCAGCAATGGCTTCACTCATTACACAAGCTGCAGTAGTTGTGCGAGTGTTTCCGTCTGAAGCAGAAACTGTTTTCTCTGATGTGGTGGAGGTGTGGCCCATTGTGACATCATCAACTAGAAAACGGATTAGGTGCCTTTGGATTCATCCGTGAGACTGCAGCTGATCCACACAGACAGGAGGAAAACAGGAGTTGTGCTTGGAGGAACTCACCCCGAACATTTGCCTTAGGTCTGGGTCCCGGAAGCGGAAGGGAATGTTGGAGACATGTAACCTTTTTGGCTGCTGCTTCTCTGAAGAGTCTGAGTGCTGGAGCTGGAGCTGCTGAGAGCCCTCTGTTTGCGTCACGTCATCTGTCTGCCGGAGGGAAACAAACACAGAAAAGACACAAGCTGGTCATTAGCCACCACTTTGTACTGCACCTCCTGGTCCTGCAGTAGGAAAGAAGGGGTGGCAGGGTGGGGTGGGGGGCCTAGCTGACTAACTTACTCAGCGTTTGCCATTTTTCAATCTGGCGAGAAAGCCAGAGCGATAAACAGCCGATGACTTATAGTGTCAAACCTGAGGTTGTGCATTACAAATCCACTTATTAATCTCTTGCACTTAGCTCTTGAGCAACAGGGAAGATTGAAGGCGCTGACAAAAAGGCGTGGATATAGATCCTACAGAGCCCTGACATGTCTAGACTAAAGACACATTATTGGTGACGTTTGCACACAGCCATCAGAGTGCGGGGCCCAGAGCCCTCAGCGTTGTTGTTTCCATCATTATGCGAATTCGGTGCTGACATTTCTATATAAATGACGTGTCTGATGTCAGTGACAAATTCCACTTGTTTCTCCGTGTGACACCAGTGATGGATTTCACCGAGCACGCTGGTGGCTTGTCTGTTCTGACGGACCTCGGTTCTGATGCGGTTTTATTTTCTCTGGACACAAAGCCCATTGGTCAAACGCGCAGTTTATCCTCGCTTTTATGCACTGTTGTGACAGAAGTCGTTTCTGGGTTTGAAAGTGAGCGTTTCCTCGGTTTATGTTTTGTTTAAGCAGCTAAACCTTTGAAAAATGGGATTTTTTTGTTACATAGGAGTAAATTAAAAACATAAAACATGAGGAAAAGAGCAGGAAATGAAATGTGGAACTGGAGAGCAGCAGCAGAGTTAAAGGTGGAAAAGCCATTTACACACTAATTCTAATCCAGCTACGGGAAATAAAAAAGGATTTCTTATTTGTAGTCTTTGTCCTAATTATACTTTAAGCCCTCATGTTTTAAAATGTTTTTACCTCAAGCAAATATACATCTATTATCAGTGAGACTTTTTCAATTGGAATCTTTTTGTTACTTTGACGTTTCGTTCGTCAACGCCGATATCAACGCCGATATCAACGCCGATGTCAACGCCGATATCAACGCCGATATCAACGCCTATGTCAACGCCGATGTCAACGCCGATATCAACGCCGATATCAATGCCGATGTCAACGCCGATATCAACGCCGATATCAACGCCGATGTCAACGCCGATATCAACGCCGATATCAACGCCGATGTCAACGCCGATATCAACGCCGATATCAACGCCGATGTCAACGCCGATATCAACGCCGATATCAACGCCGATGTCAACGCCGATATCAACGCCGATATCAACGCCGATGTCAACGCCGATATCAACGCCGATATCAACGCCGATGTCAACGCCGATGTCAACGCCGATATCAACGCCGATGTCAACGCCGATGTCAACGCCGATATCAACGCCGATGTCAACGCCGATATCAACGCCGATATCAACGCCGATGTCAACGCCGATGTCAACGCCGATATCAACGCCGATGTCAACGCCGATGTCAACGCCGATATCAACGCCGATGTCAACGCCGATGTCAACGCCGATGTCAACGCCGATATCAACGCCGATACCGACGCCGATTCTCACAGCTGACTTTACCAAATATTAAATTGCACATTTTAGTGAAAGGTTGTCCCACTCTATTTATGTTGTCCCTTACTGTTGTTCACACACAACTGCTAATACGGTGAATTATTGTAAGCATTGATTTTGATAACTTTACCTCATCTGTGATACATTCTTGTATGGTTGTATATCTAGTTTAAAACAGCAAAATTCGATGTTTTATGGTTTATTATAATTATGCTTACATGAGTCCTAGTAATGCTGAACCGCTTCCACATTAAAGAGAACAAAGCAATTACCGTTCTGACCACAAGATGTCACTCATCAGGAAAAGATCGTTTGTTTTGGGCAACAAATGCTGTGGATTCTCTGATAGGGGCAGTCTCCATTACACAGCAGCAAACAAATGAATAAAACCAAGAAAAACAAATGCACCCTGATTTAGAGCTGGTGACTTTCGGGGGGGCTAAATAAAGAAACAGAGAAGGGGGAGGCGGGGTGAGAAATGAGAGAGTGGAAGTGGCAGATATTGAGCACAAAAGCTGTTTGAATGTGATATATAAACTGCAAGGTCTCCTGGGAAGTGCTCTCTGAGCACAGTGCACGCACGCACACACACACACACACACACACACACACACACACACACACACACACACACACACACACACACACACACACACACACACACACACACACACACACACACACACACACTGGCTGGGAAGTCTCTCACACACAGACATATTCTTGTAGTGATACAGCAAGAGAGGAGGTTGTTGCCCGAGTACAAACGGGTCAAATGACTCTCTCTCTCTCTCTCTCTCTCTCTCTCTCTCTCTCTCTCTCTCTCTCTCTCTCTCTCTCTCACACACACACACACACACACACACCCTCATCACCCTGTCGGATGGCTGCAGGCCTCTCTTAGTGATACATTTCCCACCATTTAGGAAATGGGGTAGGGATTTATTCATTATAATTCATCATCACAGTATTATCATTATCATCATGATCGTAATGATGATCGCCTTTATTATTCTCATTATCATAATCACAATCTCCACTGTAATGGCCGTCATTTATTTGGTTTTTATGGCCCATTCGGAGATGGTGACATACATTGTTAGCAGTGACAGTTGTTTGATTCAAGGTCCCACTTTGTCTCGCCTGCAGCCATCCAGGTAGGCGGCAGTTTCCCCACCTGAGCCTGACAGTGTCCGAACAACGGGCTAAACCATGGTAAAGGACACAGGAGCCAGAAAATTCTCTTAAGTTGCCAAATAAAGAGTGGATTTGTGACAGAGTGGGAAGAGGGAAGGGTCCCTAACTTCACCACGTCCTCATGTGCTGGAGGTTAATAGCCTGAGTAGCCATGTTGGGCCCCAAGGGTGACACGTCGCAGACAGATGCTGGGACCGTGGAGGGTGACAAGGTACCAGGGCCCCACGGGTCAATCTGTTTCATCGGTCACACATGACACTATCGACCTTTAGCGTATGTTGCCAGACTACTGAGCGCTGCTGTCCTCCAGCTCTGTCCGTCGGGCTTTTTATCACGGCAGGAGCAGTCGCGTGTTTGCAGACATCCAGATTAATTTTCACTGGGTGCTCAGACAGGCCAGCAGCCCGCTGACATCAGGGACAAACACACACACAGAGAACACAAATGCTGAATTGCTGACTCCGAGCACACCAGTCTGCAAACTACTAACTCAATAACTTCGAGTGTCACTGAGATCCAGAAAGGCTGCTGCTGCACGCCGCTCCCGAGGCTCCAACCTGCCTGCCTGGTTGTGAAACGGTGGTGCCGCAGTGGAAAATAATTACCTCCGTATTACCATAGGAGGCCACCTTCAGTGGCACTTTACTGTCCCGACAGCTGCTGTCACAGGGAGGAGGAGGTGGGATGCAAAACACAGCATCACCGCCAAAACCAGCAAACCTAAGAGTGAGAGAGCTGTCAGCTGGAGCAGCTCTCTGACTTCCTGTTCAGTCATTTCTCTAAAAGACTCCCTTGCTGTTATTTGCAAATCGCCTGCAAAGTGCTCTGCTCAGCACTTTCCCCCTCCTCGCAGAGTGGCATTACAAGAACATAATTGAAACTATCTGATTGGAATGCTGCCAAGCAGGTAGATTACATCCGATTAAATAGGAGTTGGGGTGGGGGGGGGGTTTCGAGTCTTCGCTCACAAGAATTAGAATGCTTGAGCCTTAATTCATTACTTTCCTCTTCCGGTCCTCCACCGTTTGTTTTCTTTTTCTAAAGAAGCTGAAAACACAAACGCTCCATCACTGGTGAGAGCCGGGAATGAGCGGGGCAGAGAGGGTTGACCCAGCTCATCTCCCTGATTCCTGTAAAGTAGCCAAATCGTTGGGAGGTGTTTTTGGAAGCACAACATCCCCGCGAGTCTGATCTGGGGTGTTGGGTCACATGGACATGAAATGTACCTAATGCAAAACACAAGTAACTGGATTTTACTGTTTTACACACAAAAAGCGATGGATAAAAGCAATTTCCCATGTTTTAATAGAGCTGCACTCGCTGAAATATATTGACGAGCTCTTTTCTGTTGTCATCCACAACATGGTTAGGCTGCATTGGGGCTATATGTTCCAATTATTTCTGCCAGGGAACAACGCACAGACGACAGGAAGGGATGGCAATTGACTTCCCTAAAGGCTGCGACAAGCCACAGTTTGTGATAAGCTAGACTTTCTGGGAAAACGTGTTTATTATTTAACTCGGGACAATCGGAGGCAGCTGTGCACCTCAGGACAGAGAGCTGCTCCAGACTGGTGCACATGTCAGTCTCTCAGTCTCCATGTTACTGACTTTGATCTGAAAATTCATTATTTTAAAACATATCTAAAGATCTGCTTCTGTCTCATTCAGCAAAAATGACGATCTTAGTGGATGTTTAGGTTGCACCAGTAGTTTAATCTCCCTAAATAACTCAAGCCCGGAGGAGTTCTGCTGTGTAGTGGGGTTGCTAATGCTAACAGTTAGCTTGTACTAGCCGAGGTGCTCTCTGCTGTTTCCTGGATGCTAAACCAACAGCGACTTTCCCAATGCCAAGTCAAGATGTGTGAGTCCGTGAATGTTAAGTGACAGTGTGACGTAGATCTGGCAGGATTTTCTTACATCCTAGATCTTGGATGCGGGAGATAGGTGTAGGAGACTGTTTTCATGTTCAGCCCGCATGAAAATCCTCAGAGTGTCTGATTATAATTAGAAATAATCATAAAAAATAATTTTTAGTTAACCACACCTCTACGTATTGTTGTGAGTCAGTATCACGCAGCAGTCAGCGTGATCTCCGTGTTGAAACTCGGGAATAAACTGCCATTGGTGAGTCAAGCTAACAACTAATTTACACAGGATGTTTAAACACAAACTAGCAGTTTAAATTATGTTTATGTTTATTTATTTAGCCGAC